GGAGAGAGAGGAGGGGGAGAGAGAGGAGGGGGAGAGGGAGAGGGAGAGAGAATGTGCAATAGTATACAATCACTCTCAGAGGTCAGAGGACAACTTACAAGAGTCACTTATCTCCTTCTACCACAGGCTCTAAGGGACTGAACTCCAGTCAGCAAGCTTAGTGGTGAGTTCCTTACCTGATGGCCATATCGTAATCCACCTAAAAGCCAAAATAATGAAGTTAAGACATATGGATCGTCAGAGTCCAACAGAGTTGAGTTGGGGCTGCAGGTCTGCTAACCTGCAAAATGACTTCCAGGGCCTCCTTTTTCTCGTTTGCCAAGGCACCTCTTTGTTCCTGACAGAGTGTGCTAACATGGGGTTGGCTGGCACACTCTCTCCCCTTCCCTCCTCTCTCAGAGATAAAGAACACTGGTCTGAAGATGACACTTGCAATCTCTAAACAAAAGTAACTGGGAAAAAATGAGTGCTTCTAAATAGCATAACTAAAATGGATTTAACCAACAAGAACTGATAAATATTTGTTATTTATTGTTAATAACTTTATTAATTAAAAATGCCATTCAAAATCTCTAAAACCCATCACTTTAGTAACATACTTTAAGAACCATTAATGATGCTACAACTGTGAATGTAGAGAAGTAATGATACGTATCCTGGTCACCAAAACAAATAGTCATAGACTGACTACAGAGAACACTGGATTTGATGTTCCGGTCCCTGTTCCAGGAGTCTGCTGTGCTCAGGGACTGATGCAATTTTCCCTGGCCTCCCCCAAGGTTTGTTACTGAAAGTTGTGACAAAAGTGTGACAAAAATATCATGATGGGTTTTAGAGATTTTGAGTGGCATTTTTAATGCTAGCATCTGTCTGGTTTAAAAAAATTTTTTTTTAAATCATTAGGTGGTAAGCTCCACATCAAGTAGACACTTTCTTCTTTAACATATACAGAAACCAGACTCTCCAAAAACCAAGTCACTTGCCCAGGGTTTTAGTTAAGGACAGAAGTATAAGCCATGGGTGTTTTCAGACCGAAAGTTCTATGATTTTTGCCTAAAGTCATATGTCAAACGAAAAGACTTCTCTCAAAGTGTTTCAAGAGCAATTAAAAGGGAACGAATGCTTAATTACACAGAAAACAACACAGGGAAAGGAAAAAAATTCAAAGGCTTTTAAAAAAACTGTGAGACATTGCAGACATGATTCCCAGTCATCTGGAGGTGCATACTCACTTTATGAATTAGAACAATCTAGTTTCTTTTCCACTCCACCATCTCCAACATACATAATGGGCAGAAGCAGGAACAACACTTGCCACTGTTTTTGAGTAAGTAAATAAGAAAGTGAACATTTGCCATACAAATGTATTAGGCAACTAAATATTGGTGTTTATTGGTATTCTGCAACCTAATCTACTGAAGAGCTTCAGATGTTGATTCTATACTGGCAAGTTATGTTTCCAAATAGCAAGTCACAGGTTGCTTTCAGAGTTTGATTATATTTATATTATTGTTCTTTATATTTCTAAACCAACAGATGCAAGACAAAGCAACCCACGGACAGGTATTGCCATCAAAGATGTAACTCACAGATAACAGCCACAGTGTTGATACTGGCCACATGTCTAGTCACATAGAGATGAAAGCACAATTTTCTGGGACAAAAGTCTAAAGATATTTGCTATCTATTGACGTGAAAATGGAAGAACTGATGTACCTGACTAAATGATAAACTATGCCTGATGGTAGTAAGGATGAGTCAATCCTCACTGCACTCTGTAACAGCAGAGATGTGAAACTAACCTCCAGGAAGAAAGCAGAGCCTAACAGAACAGAAGCAGTACCTGCAACAAGATGAGGCTTTCTAATTTCACTTTCATTTCCCACAGTTACTACGGGCTCTTTTTTAAAATCGCTTTTGCTTAAACTAAACACACAAGCAGCTCATTTAGCAGACACAATGGATTAACTGACACTGTCTCTTTGTTAAATATACAACTGCTGCTGCCTCTGGCTGTTCCTACCTAATAAAGATCCCGAGGCAGCTGAATGACAAGGCTTCTACTGCCAATACTTTCAAGAAAACCTAAGAATGAGATGGTGATAAGCTTTAAGAGAAGGCACTCAAGCTGCAAAGAGAGAGAACATGGGCTCTGTGGGCGCAGGGATCTTTGCCTTATGTACTGATGGATCATAACAAGCTGGAGCAGTTTCTTGTGTACAGCAGGTGCTTGATAAATGCGTGACACAAGCAAAGGTCTGTTTATGGTACCCAACAAGAACAAGAGAGACAGCAAGACTTCATTCCACCTTGATGCTCCTTGAAGCATAAAAAATATATAAAAGCCATAACAAGAAGACTGTTATAATTGTTTATATGAGGTTTATGTCATTTGAACTAGGTATGGTGGTCAATGTCTGTAATTTCAGTGTACATAAGGCTAAAGCAGTACGACTTGAAAGCTGGAGGCCACCTTTGGCAACACACAGTGAGACTCCATCTCAAAACAAACACACAGAAACACACACGTACCCCTCTCATGAGTATAATATATATATGAATTAATCTATGAATGAATATATAAATATGTATATATGTATATATGTACACATACTTATATATGTATACTCTCAAGACAATTTAAGAAATTCTTACTAATAGTCATTACTGTGGTGAAGTTGGTAAGTCCCTGGCTTTACTTACCTTTTAAGATTAGGGAATATCATTTTTTTAATGATCTGAAAAATTTTAAATCCTCTTAAAAATCTGGAAGATTTAGAAAAAAACAACAACAACTGGGCCTTTTCTTCTGATACCAGTCACCTGAAGCTATGCAGGGCCTGCTAACTCTTCAGCTGGGCCCTGAGCACTGACTGCAGTCTGCACAAACACAGAGCCTCACTGAGTTCCTTTTCATCAGCTGCCACCTCTGGTAAACCTGAGACAGGCCTATCCTTGTGCCAGCAAATACCAACACAGACTGTGCTTTCAGAAAATTGTGACCCCAACTTGCAGTCCTCAGCTTTCCCAGAGAAAGTACCTGCAATGGGGTACTTAGATGCATTTAGAGCCAGTTTCTTTGCAGAGAATAATATGTTGGCTCCAGTATTTCACTAGGCACCTTGTCCACATGTTCTTTCGTGGAACTTTGTAATTCCCAACCACTTGGGCAGGATTCGTCTTTAGTTCTTAGTTCTCACATGGCTTTGCTTAACTTTAGGTATTACAGTCAACTTGCTTTAACCAACAGGACAGAAGGGATAGTAGCTACTTCTGAGCTTAGATCTGAAAAGGGTCTATGTGTGCATACTCACTCAGCTGCATGCATGCCACCACAAGGGATGGGCCTTGGTAGTTTATGTTTTATCAGCCTTGACCTGAAATAACACATAAGGAGCTCAAACTCAGTGATGGGCCAAGCTTAGCTACATCCATGTTTTAAGCACATTAACTCAGATAAGCCCAGCCCAGATCACCCAATTGCAGTGCCCCAAAGGTACATGAAAGAAGACCTCCATAATACCTTTACCACAGTACATCTTAGTTTGATGTGCTGAAGCTAGCTGACACACATTAGCACTGAGCACTTCGTCATGACAAATAACACTGGGCTGAAAGATCATAACATAAAACTATGTTACACATGGATTCTGGTGTCACATAGCATTTTATATTAATGAAGCACTTCCAGTTTGCCATTCTATACATCTTTAGATAAACTAAATGGGTGTGAAATAAGACTGATAACATCTTGCTTAACCTCCCACTATATTTCCAGATAGATAATAGATATCATTGAATCATTTTAGCTCTTATTGTCATAAAAGTTTTAATATATTAATGTACTTAAATGTTTTCATCATCTGAGTCTTTGACAGACTGCAATATTTGTGAATTAATAAAATTTAAGTATTGATTACTCTCACTTCTAGATTTCATGAGGCCTAAAAGACAATATGAGGAAGTATTAAGTTCTCACTTACAAAATATCTTACACACATAGAATTTGATGATGACCAACAGTTTTCAGCGAGAAAAAGATTGTTTCTCTAAGAAAGCTGAAAGTATTTCTACAGTTACAAAAGTACTTTTAGTAATTTGGGTATATAGGACAAGGGTAATTATAAGGTGGTTATTCACCAATGAAAAATATTTTAAGGAGCTGGAGAGAAGGCTCAGCAGCTAAGAGTACTTGCTGCTCTTGCAGAGGAGCTGGGTTCAGTTCCCAGCACTTACAGAGTAGCTTGCAACCATCTATAACTATATATATATATATATATATATATATATATATATGAACATAAGGAAAGATATAATTCAACTGGTGAATGAGAAAGAAAGGGGAGGTTAGACTCTGTCATTTGTAAAAACTGCTACTCTCATTTGATACAGAACAGGTCTAACAACTATAAAATCACAATAACAGCACTCATCAGGGCAATCACACAAAAAGACTTGAATGAACTAGGGATTCCAGGGATGGATGTGCTCTTCATAAAAGCAGAGACCCACCACTGTGTTTATTTCTAGCAGAGCAGAAGAAAGACAGGAAACCAGCCATAAATGGCAATAAGGAGAAAGCAGCCTAGTGTTTGGTGACTGCATTGGGCTAGAATGATTAAAATTCTGAGAAGCCCCCACTATAAGGTAAACTGTACCTATCTTCGAACTTCTTCCTGGGTCACTAGGTGCTGATGACATGTGCAAGCAATAAAAAAGACGGCAGGGAGAATTTTATTTCCGAGTTCTAGGATTTCAGCTACCAGAAGTCAGCAGGAACCCAAGAGAGCTGAAATAGCCTCCAAAGAATTTTAGGCCTTCACAGACCATGGGGTAGCCTTTCTCTGTAGTTTTGGATGGATGGTCAATGTCTTAGTTAGGTTTCTATTGCTGTAATGAAACACAATGACCAAAGCAACTCAGGGAGTTAAGAGTTCATTTACCTTACAGCTCATAGCTCATCATCCAGGGAACTCAGGGCAGGAATTCAAGGCAGGAACCTGGAGGGAAGAGCTAAGGGAAACCTGGGGGAACTCTGATTATTGGCTTTCTCCTCCTACTTTTTATATACCCCAGGACCACAGCACCCAGGGGTGGTACTCCCTACAATGGGCTGGGCCATCGACATCAGTCACTAATTAAGAAATTGTACTACAGGCAAATCTTATGGAGGTATTTTCTCAATTAAGAATCCCTCTTTCAAAATGACGTTATCTTATATCTAATTGGCATAAAACTAGCCAGCAAAGCCAGGAAGAACAAGTTCATGGAAAACAAAGAATTCCAGTTATTTGGGGATAGAGGGCAAAGAGAACTCCTAGTGGTCATAGGACCTGGCATCTGAGCTATAAAACAGAAAAAGACGCTAATGTTTGGACAGCTTGTCACACATATGTAAATCTGCTACAATTCCACCTGGAGTCAGAGTTCCAGGCCTGTAAAGGGATGGCTCTGACCCCTCCCTCAAAAGATCTGAAGCAGTAATGAACTGAATCAAACTGAACCTATAGCAAAGCCCAGGCCCAGGCCAACCATGACAGGCTTCATTTCCGAGGCCTGGAAGAGAAAAAGAGTGCTCATTTTCTGGAGATAGCTCCTTTTGTCTTAGGTTTTCCTTTTTTTATATGGTCAGTCTTCTGACTCTACAGGTTTTATACCTGAGGATTCAACCAAGGATGGATTTTTTTTTTAAGGGGATTGGGGAATACTATGTCTTAATTACACTCACACAATAGGACCTCACAACTATTTACATAGCTTTTTCGCTACATTATTATGAGTGATGTAGAGATGACTAACAATATATGGAAATGTGTATGTAGGTTGTATGCATATACAGGGCCATCTATAGATTTTGGCATATGAGGCGTCTTGGAACCAATCCCTGTGGGAACTGTGGGGCACCAGTGCACATGTGTGCTGTGTGAATCAATAAAAGATATACAACTATGTAAGAAAATCACAATGATGGGTTAATGACAGTGTGTGCATCAGTGACCCGGGTGGATCACTGCTGAATAACTGATGAGTATGAATCACAAGCAGGGTCAAATTTAATGATCAAATAATCTTAGTGCTCAATGAAGAAGTACTGAGAATTTAAATTATTGTTTTCTTGTTAGAAAAAAATCCTCTAAATTTTGATTATTTACTCTTTTCCAAAGACTAACTTAGAAACCAGAGCTGAAAAATAAAACACTGCTCATCTTTACGTGGAAGTTATGGTCTACTAGGAAAGACAGACCTGTAAATAACTACAAATCAACCAAATAAATGCTATTACAGAATGTAAAATGAATGTTACAGAAACCACATAAAATGCAATATATATACTAATTCAAATAGGAAAAGGCAGTTCAGGGTGAAGGGTGCTTTACTCAGTTTTAAAGAGACAGTGAGATTTCACAGATGGATATGAATAGGCACAAAAGTGAGAGAAGCAACTTGAGAGAGTGGAAGGCTGTTCTGGTTTCAGATCCAACCAATAACCGAGTAGACTTACAGACAATATGGGCCTGAGGGGACAGAGACAGAGAAAGGAAAAGAGTGGGCAGTGGATTTGGCTGGACATAATGACTTGAGCCAGAATGAAAAATCTTGAGAGTATCACATCAAAGATCCTGGGAGGGAAATAATAAAGCAGCTTTGTGTGTTTGGCAATACCTCTAGAACATACAATGCTGCCACTACTGTTCAGAATCTGGTTTCCTTCCCAGGGCTAATTAACACTGAACAGTGAGGAAGATGGGAACAGATTAAGAAAGAAAAGTAAAATTTGAGAGATGAGACCACTGAGATGAAGAAGGTTTCATCACCATAAATACTTATTAGTAATTTCTAGTACTTATTTGTAAGTGGTAAGGCTTATTAATAAAGCAATGCTGATCTATTTTATTTCCATGTAACAACAGGTGAGTATTTAAAATTCCAGTGTAGGCCATATTTTAATAAAGATCACATATATAACCTCATGAAGACTTAGATATTAACTGAGGAAGAGAAGTATTCTATCCTTAGGAAAGTATTAGGCTCCAAGGAACAACAGTTTAAATAAAAATTACGTTGACTCACTCAATCTTAGGGGAAGCAGCTCAAGGCAGGCTGCTGCCTCTAGAACAGCATCAGACTCCTAGTGTTTGGTTCCATGTTCCAATATTCTTGCATTGTAGTCATAGTTAAAGCAAAAAAGAGGAAATAACAAAGCACCAAACACAAAACAAAAATAAGATGTTAGCATCTATTGGGCTAGCAGCAGGGTTGGTCTGGACAGCCATAAACCTAGCTAAACAAACTCACCTTCCTGGACTACGTTGTGGCTAGAAATAGCCATGCAGTCTACTTCTGGCCAATGAAAGGAGCCCTTCCCAGAAAGTTTCACTTGCATTTCATTGGCCAGAAGTATCTTGGTTCATGGCTCTCCTGACCAACATAGGTTTCAAAAAAGAGAGAATTAGTCTCAG